ACGAGCATAAAGTACAATTGTTGCTTATTTCAACTTAAAATAACTATATCTGGCCTAATTAAAGTCCGATCCTGGAAAAATCTGTTTTGTCATGCGATAAGGTCCTTAGAGCACATTGCAGTCCGTTCCAAAACGACATAATATCTCGGGTAATAGCTCCGCGCGGAGATATGACGTTTCGAAACGACATAATATCTCGGGTAATAGCTCCGCGCGGAGATATGACGTTTCGAAACGACAGAACTCCGCGCGGAGATATGACGTTCCAAAACGACAGAACTCCGCGCGGAGATATGACGTTTCGAAACGACATAATATCTCGGGTAATAGCTCCGCGCGGAGATATGACGTTTCGAAACGACATAATATCTCGGGTAATAGCTCCGCGCGGAGATATGACGTTTCGAAACGACATAATATCTCGGGTAATAGCTCCGCGCGGAGATATGACGTTTCGAAACGACATAATATCTCGGGTAATAGCTCCGCGCGGAGATATGACGTTCCAAAACGACAGAACTCCGCGCGGAGATATGACGTTCCAAAACGACATAATATCTCGGGTAATAGCTCCGCGCGGAGATATGACGTTCCAAAACGACATAATATCTCGGCTAATAGCTCCGCGCGGAGATATGACGTTTCGAAACGACAGAACTCCGCGCGGAGATATGACGTTCCAAAACGACAGAACTCCGCGCGGAGATATGACGTTTCGAAACGACATAATATCTCGGGTTATAGCTCCGCGCGGAGATATGACGTTCCAAAACGACAGAACTCCGCGCGGAGATATGACGTTCCAAAACGACATAATATCTCGGGTAATAGCTCCGCGCGGAGATATGACGTTCCAAAACGACATAATATCTCGGGTAATAGCTCCGCGCGGAGATATGACGTTTCGAAACGACAGAACTCCGCGCGGAGATATGACGTTCCAAAACGACAGAACTCCGCGCGGAGATATGACGTTCCAAAACGACAGAACTCCGCGCGGAGATATGACGTTTCGAAACGACATAATATCTCGGGTAATAGCTCCGCGCGGAGATATGACGTTCCAAAACGACATAATATCTCGACTAATAGCTCCGCGCGGAGATATGACGTTTCGAAACGACAGAACTCCGCGCGGAAATATGACGTTCCAAAACGACATAATATCTCTGGTAATAACTCCGCTGGAGATATGACGTTCCAAAACGACATAATATCTCGGGTAATAGCTCCGCTGGAGATATGACGTTTCGAAACGACATAATATCTCGGGTAATAGCTCCGCTGGAGATATGACGTTTCGAAACGACATAATATCTCGGGTAATAGCTCCGCGCGGAGATATGACGTTCCAAAACGACATAATATCTCGTCTAATAGCTCCGCGCGGAGATATGACGTTCCAAAACGACAGAACTCCGCGCGGAGATATGACGTTCCAAAACGACAGAACTCCGCGCGGAGATATGACGTTTCGAAACGACATAATATCTCGGGTAATAGCTCCGCGCGGAGATATGACGTTCCAAAACGACATAATATCTCGACTAATAGCTCCGCGCGGAGATATGACGTTTCGAAACGACAGAACTCCGCGCGGAAATATGACGTTCCAAAACGACATAATATCTCTGGTAATAACTCCGCTGGAGATATGACGTTCCAAAACGACATAATATCTCGGGTAATAGCTCCGCTGGAGATATGACGTTTCGAAACGACAGAACTCCGCGCGGAGATATGACGTTCCAAAACGCGGAACTCCGCGCGGAGATATGACGTTCCAAAACGACAGAACTCCGCGCGGAGATATGACGTTTCGAAACGACATAATATCTCGGGTAATAGCTCCGCGCGGAGATATGACGTTCCAAAACGACAGAACTCCGCGCGGAGATATGACGTTCCGAAACGACAGAACTCCGCGCGGAGATATGACGTTCCAAAACGACATAATATCTCTGGTAATAGCTCCGCGCGGAGATATGACGTTTCGAAACGACAGAACTCCGCGCGGAGATATGACGTTCCAAAACGACAGAACTCCGCGCGGAGATATGACGTTCCAAAACGACAGAACTCCGCGCGGAGATATGACGTTCCAAAACGACAGAACTCCGCGCGGAGATATGACGTTCCAAAACGACAGAACTCCGCGCGGAGATATGACGTTCCAAAACGACAGAACTCCGCGCGGAGATATGACGTTCCAAAACGACAGAACTCCGCGCGGAGATATGACGTTCCAAAACGACAGAACTCCGCGCGGAGATATGACGTTCCAAAACGACATAATATCTCTGGTAATAGCTCCGCGCGGAGATATGACGTTTCGAAACGACAGAACTCCGCGCGGAGATATGACGTTCCAAAACGACAGAACTCCGCGCGGAGATATGACGTTCCAAAACGACAGAACTCCGCGCGGAGATATGACGTTCCAAAACGACAGAACTCCGCGCGGAGATATGACGTTCCAAAACGACAGAACTCCGCGCGGAGATATGACGTTCCAAAACGACAGAACTCCGCGCGGAGATATGACGTTCCAAAACGACAGAACTCCGCGCGGAGATATGACGTTCCAAAACGACAGAACTCCGCGCGGAGATATGACGTTCCAAAACGACAAAACTCCGCGCGGAGATATGACGTTCCAAAACGACATAATATCTCGGCTAATAGCTCCGCGCGGAGATATGACGTTTCGAAACGACAGAACTCAGCGCGGAGATATGACGTTCCAAAACGACAGAACTCCGCGCGGAGATATGACGTTCCAAAACGACATAATATCTCGGGTAATAGCTCCGCGCGGAGATATGACGTTTCGAAACGACATAATATCTCGGGTAATAGCTCCGCGCGGAGATATGACGTTCCAAAACGACAGAACTCCGCGCGGAGATATGACGTTCCAAAACGACAGAACTCCGCGCGGAGATATGACGTTCCAAAACGACAGAACTCCGCGCGGAGATATGACGTTCCAAAACGACAGAACTCCGCGCGGAGATATGACGTTCCAAAACGACATAATATCTCTGGTAATAACTCCGCTGGAGATATGACGTTCCAACACGACATAATATCTCGGGTAATAGCTTCGCTGGAGATATGACGTTTCGAAACGACATAATATTTCGGGTAATAGCTCCGCGCGGAGATATGACGTTCCAAAACGACATAATATCTCGGCTAATAGCTCCGCGCGGAGATATGACGTTTCGAAACGACAGAACTCCGCGCGGAGATATGACGTTCCAAAACGACATAATATCTCGGGTAATAGCTCCGCGCGGAGATATGACGTTTCGAAACGACAAAACTCCGCGCAGAGATATGACGTTCCAAAACGACATAATATCTCGGGTAATAGCTTCGCTGGAGATATGACGTTTCGAAACGACATAATATCTCGGGTAATAGCTCCGCGTGGAGATATGACGTTCCAAAACGACAGAACTCCGCGCGGAGATATGACGTTCCAAAACGACAGAACTCCGCGCGGAGATATGACGTTCCAAAACGACATAATATCTCTGGTAATAACTCCGCTGGAGATATGACGTTCCAAAACGACATAATATCTCGGGTAATAGCTTCGCTGGAGATATGACGTTTCGAAACGACATAATATTTCGGGTAATAGCTCCGCGCGGAGATATGACGTTCCAAAACGACATAATATCTCGGCTAATAGCTCCGCGCGGAGATATGACGTTTCGAAACGACAGAACTCCGCGCGGAGATATGACGTTCCAAAACGACATAATATCTCGGGTAATAGCTCCGCGCGGAGATATGACGTTTCGAAACGACAAAACTCCGCGCAGAGATATGACGTTCCAAAACGACATAATATCTCGGGTAATAGCTTCGCTGGAGATATGACGTTTCGAAACGACATAATATCTCGGGTAATAGCTCCGCGTGGAGATATGACGTTCCAAAACGACAGAACTCCGCGCGGAGATATCACCTTCCAAATCATCACGATCATGTCGATTTTGAAGACTTCGCGAATCTATAAAGGTAAGCCTTTGCAAAGTCGCACGTAATTAAAATGATCTATTTTAGTTTACAAAAACTAATGCAATTTGTATTTTGTATTTTTCAGACTTATCTGCCAACGTTCATAGACAACATCTAATCAACAGCAAATGATCGCCAATCATGGTACCTAGTTGACCTATATATCCTTGGTTATTCCATATCATAGATATAGTCCTAGCGAACCTAAAGGACAATGTTCTTGCAAAATGCGTAGCAACTGGTTCCAAAATGTGTATGCTTTTCTTTTACAGCTGCCCCTATCAACAGTTCCGGCCCCTGGTTGGTTTCTAGTTGACTAGAATATCCTTGGTTATGCCATACCATCGATATAGTCCTTGGGAACCTAAAGGATCAGATTCCTGCAAAATTTGCATTGAAATGGTCCAAAAATATGTATGCTTTTTCTTACAGGAGCCCTTTTACATTAGCAGCAGCTGCAGCTGTTGCTTAACAGCCGGCTTACAGCACTCATTTTACAGAAACTGCTAATTAACATAACTCATTTTAATTGAGTTACATTTTTGCCCCGTAATGCTATGCTATGAAAATTTTTATAAAAAGCACTCGTCGACCTTCTGGGCATTTCTGTTCGCCTGGTATTTGAGTGCAATTTTTGGGCAAATTTGGGGCGTAGCCTCCGACCAGGGCGCCCCTTTTGGGTATGCAATGAAATTTTGCGGCAACTAAAAATATTTTTTGTCGACCTTCTGGGCATTTCTGTTCGCCTGGTATTTTGGCAGATTTTAAGAAAAATCTCGGCAGCCAGCGATTGTCAACAAATACCCCCACGGGTATGCAATATTTTTCTAACGACCGTTGATTTTTGAATTTTGATATAACAGAACAGGAATTTCGCTTTATAAGAAATTGAAATTTACAAAAGTTTTGTTTTTTATGCTAATATTCTTAATTATTTCTTCTAAATTTATACAAAACGAGCAGCATAAATTACAATTGTTGCTTATTTCAACTTAAAATAACTATATCTGGCTTAATTAAAGTCCGATCCTGGAAAAATCTGCTTTGTCATGCGTGAAGGTCCTTAGAGCACATTGTAGTTCATAATTTGTCAGTCTGAAAAGATAAAAACACATTTACATTAAACAAGGCAAAAATATATAAAGGCATTTTATAAAAGGAAAAAAGGACATAGCTCGGTCATATCCTTGCAGATTTTCAAAGGACATGGTGCATTAGGATCGTACAGACCCCCTGCATCGATCTGCATCATAAAAATATGGGGTCATCTAAGAATCATACGACTCGAAATTGGACTTGTAAAATTTCTGTCCCGGAGCGCACGGAAATGGCCCGAAAACACAAATCCTTAAATATCTCCAAAACGACAAGGACGATTTTAATGAAATTTGGCCAGATGGTAGTCCTGTTATTTTGACATATGACTTGCCAGGATACGCAAGGATATACTCGAGCTATGGCTTATTTTCTTCAAACACAATTGTCCTTAAAACTTTTTTGTCTGAAGGACTTTCGTCCTTTGAGTTGTTATTTCTTTAATGGGAGGTCGAGATCTATCTGCTGGCCAAAGGACATCCCGATAGTCCTTCAAATGGCCAAGTTAGCCCGGAAATTTTCGATTTTTGCTAATTTTGCGACCTAGGAAAAATTTCGATGAAATTTTTTGTCGAATCCTGGAAATCCTTGAATGCCAATCGATAGTTCTGCTGACCACGAGTTCAAAAAGACATATCCTTCCGATATCCTTCAGGATTTGGCCAAGTTATGGCCAATTGAAAAATGTTCTTTTTAGAAAATAAGCTATATAGCGGAAACGGTAAGGACGATTTTGTTGTCCTTTGGACAGTTCATGGTCCTTATTCATAAGATTTGTTTGACTTAGGACCTGCCAGGATTCTCAAGGATATGGCCAAGTTATGGCATTGTTAATTTACCAAAGAATTGTACTCATATCGAGGCTATCTAAAGGACTTTCGTCCTTTTCATTATATAATCTGAATTGGGAGGGCAAGGACTAAAGCTTGGCTAAGGGAAATAATGATCGGCAAGTATACGGCCGATCTACAACCTTTTATCTCTCCCGCCAAAAATCTTCTATTCCTCAGCTCCTTGCAGGATTTTCGTCCTTTTTTATAACATATTCTAACTTGGCAGGCCAAGCACCACATGCTGTCCAAAGAACATCAGAATGGTCCTTAAGGTGGTCCTTTCAATGTCCTTTCAAAGGACACTTGCCATACCTTGGGCAGATTCTAGTCTCTGTCAAACAGGGTGTTTGGCTAGGACTCATCACTCGTATTTACCCGAGATTTTCAAGAAACTGTCAACAAAACTTCGATTTTTCGTTCATTCCAAAATCGGACTTTATTGCGCCAAGATATTCCAAAAACTGATCAAAAAATGTGAACTTGGTCTACAACCTTTTTTTAACCCATCGATTTGAAATTAGTTTGAATGCCAATTATCTTGTTATTATCCTTTCGCTCTCTCTTCCACAATCAGCAAAACAAACAACTTCTAAATAGTTCTAAAGAGACATAGCTCTGATCGTATTAATATAAAGGCTATCTGTGAAAAAGTTATCTCTCCAACACACACACACACACACGCACGCACACCAACATGCGTGCGTGGAGCACATGAAAACAGACTTGAAAAAATATTTGTATATTTTTTGTGGCCCAAGATCTTGGCCAAACAATGAGTGAAAAGTTCGCTTTTGTTGCGTTCTATGGGTAGCTGGGAGCGCGGAGCGGGGCTTCCATTGCGAGTAGCATATATATATAAATATATATGTATATTTATTCTTTATATTTGATTTGCATTTGGCTTTTCAAGTCAAGTGCATTTGCTGGGGCTGGTTGCTCACGCGCGAGTGCATTCGAATGCCTGGCATTTGCATTAACAACAATAACAACAATAAGCAGCAGAAACAACAACAACAACAGTAGCTTTTGGGCCATATGGCTGGCAGGCTGAGCAGCGGCCACGCCCTGTTGACTGCCCAACAAGGCGCTAAGCATCAAGTGCCCACAATTGCCCCAAGGAGCAGCCACAAAGAAGACAGAGCCACGGCCTGCCGGCAAAGGGCAATTGAGTGCGAGCTGTGGGTGGATGGGTGGCTTGTTGCCCCTTCCCCACCCCCTTTCACGCAGACGAACCTCCCCCCCCCCAATGCGGTTGAACACACATATTCAGGCATCCAAGTGGGCGCCAGCCCCACCCCCCTGACTGAGCAGAGAAATATCAGTTTTTAGTACGTTCGGCTTTGAAATTATTTGTCTTGACATTTTCGTTTTTTAATCTTGTATTTTAGATTTGATATCTTCTGCAGATTTGGCCTTTTCGCATAAAACCAAATTAGTCGTTATAGCTTATGTTCAAAATGAATGTGCCACACGAGGCTCCGAGCGGTGAGCTGAAGAAGAGCAAGGGCAGCCTGGACCTGAATGGGGTATGCCGCCAAGTCACCAACAGAGTGCCAGAGCCTAGTCGAGTCCCATTTAAACGCTATGCCAATTCTCCATTAATAGCGCTTTATAGCCGAACAGCTGACCAAAACGGAGACTCGCCATGGTTCGGCTCTGCCATTAGATGAAAAGAAAAAATCCCACCTAATTATCGAGATGAAGCTGGCTGAGAAGCCATCCTTGAGGCTGTGCAGCAAGCCGCCCAGCGACATGGAACACTTCAGCATGGAGCACAATTTCGATGCCAAGGATTTCTTGGAAATGTCCGAGTCAAGCCTGGAACTCATTGAGGAACCACACGGCAGGCGTCAATAGCAAGACCCAAAGTTGATTAAGGTATATGTAAATGATGCAACATGATTTAAGCCCACATTAAAATTCTCTACCGCAAGGACCTAGCCGTATAGCCGAACCCGATTGCCCGGATCGAACACTCAACGCAAACCAGTTCCATCATATTGTTTTCCGCAAAGGAATCCAAGGCAATTTGAAACCTTGCTAGTCCCCGAAAATGTTTTGTTAAACAGCGCAAACGACGCGAGCGAAGTGCAGCTCCAGAACTCAAGGATTCCCCAGTTCCAGACGTGCTCCTTCGAGCTGACCCATGCTGGCTATCACAAAATGAGAGTCCAATATAATGTGTAGGATAAATTTTGATCGTTGACCCAAGTATAACATAAATTTTATTAGTTCAAAATGTGTTCAGTTATTTTCAGACAAGGCACAAAGAGAACAACTTAAGTATTTCGAGAAAATATTTCTGGTTTCGATTCTCTCGAGATATATACATATATATTCTCTATGTTGATCCTGAAGATTCAAGTGCTAAAGATCCAAACGAAATGATAAGATACGATTTTTGGATTATTTTCGCTTTAATATATTTTGATTATCCTGAGGAACTCTGAACACTTAAAAGGCTTTCTGCAATTCGAGTTGCCAAACAAAACATGCACTTAATAAATGCGAAAGTTGTTCGAGGCAACAAATCCAAGTGGTTAGACAAGTGTCTTAAATGTCCTTGTACGCCCAACCCCCCCCAACCATCCCAACCATCCACACCTCCTGCCCAGCCTTGTGTGAGAAGTGTTTAGAATTATGAACTGGCATTCAAAATATCTCCTTCATGCTGTCCAAATGTCGCGCGCGTTAAGCACGCCGAATGTCTTAAGTGCACAATGCTGCCAACCAGCTCGCGTCCAACGGGAGGATTCACACCCAAACACACACACACACACACACACACACGCGCAGCAACAATGTGGTAACGGGGCGTGCGAATATTTCAACGTGTCTGTGTGTGATTTTAATGCTCTTACCCAGGGCATAACCATTTCATTAGACGTTCAGACCTTTAAGCTAATAAGCTACACTCAAAGAAAAAGTGTTAGACCTCCAAAAAAGTTGCACCTTATTCTTAGAAAATTTACAAAATGTATAAATATTTCTTAAGTTTTGAACACAGTTTTTGATGCAAGAAAATAGTTTTGCCTAATCTATATAAACTTTTGAGAGATATTGAATTCTTGACACAAACTGTTTAGAGTGCGCAAAAAAGTGGCAACCCTAGATCTACAAATCGCACTCGTGCTGCATAGCAAGGTGGCAACACTGCTCGACTGAAATTACATCAAATATGCAACAGTTGGATGAGCATTATCTTAAAAGCTATTTTAAATGGCAACCCTAGATCTACAAGTGAGTTTCTAATCGAACGCGTGCTGCATGGCAAGGTGGCAACACTGCTCGACTTCACAATCAACTATGTAACAGTTGGGTAAGCACTATTTTTAGGGGTACTTTAAGTGGCAACCCTAGATCTAAAAGCTAGCATCTATTTACATAAGTGCCGTATAGCAAGATGGCAACACTGCTCGACTGCACAATCAAATACATATGTAACAGTTGACTTAACTGCAAGTTGTATTTTAACAGGTTTTTAGGCAGCAGGTTAAAGAAGATATTTAAGCGGCTGTTAACTTTAACGGCAGCTTTGAAATAACAAACCTCAGGGCATTTAAGCTTCGGCCTGGTTGCCGTTATTTGCATTTTTTTTTTGTTGTATATTTTTTTTTCCTTCTTCTGGGTTTTTGCCATTTACACTTGAACGAAGGGTGCGAATTTTGTCACTCCGTTAACGTCAAGGCCATGAATACATCAGCTGAAGATGCTGCGGATGCGGCTGAGCGCAGTCCGTGTATGTTTGCGTGTGTCTGTGTGTGTATGTAGGCGTGGCTAAGTGGCTGGGGGGGGGGGTGCAGGTGCGGAGTGGGTTCTGTCGGCGAAAAGGGCATACAAATGAACAGTTAGTTGAATGCCTGCGCTGGCTGCTCGCCGAATTGTTCTGGTTCTTGTTGCCCAAAAATATTTCACACCCATCTGGGTGTAGTTTAGTGCGCGCGTGTGTGTGTGTGTGTGAGTGTGTGTGTGTGTGGCTGCTGCTCGTTTGGCTGTCACTTTGGCTCGTCGCGTTTGCTGCTCGTTGAAATTCATTACGCAAAGCGATGGGCAGGAGCGCAGGCAGAGCAGGCGTGGCTGGGCGGGGCTGGATGGAGCACATGCAACATGGCAGACACGGCAGACACGGCAGAGACAATGGCAGCCGTGACAAACGTAACGGAAGACGTCACAGACAGCGCGACAGTGCCAAGCCAACAGCAATCGGCTGGAGAGAGGCGACCAGGAGGGCGGGTAGGGGTTTGCTGGAAGCTGGGCCAGAGGCAGAAGGAGCTACTCGAATGACAGTGGCATGTCTAAATGTCGACGACAGGCCATTTTCTATAACTTATCTGATTTTAATTGCTTCAAACATGTGCGTGCACAATGCGCACACACGCACACACACACATACACATACACTCATTGTCTGCCTGTCTCCTGTATGCCGGCGCATCCTTTTCGTTGTTTTTTTTTTTTTTTTTTTTTTTTTTTTTGGCGCTGTCAACATTATTTCACGTTGAGCGTTTCGTCGCCTCCGCTCGCGTTGCCACTGCGCAGACATGTTGATGACCCCCGCCCAGCCGCCGCTTGCCGCAACTACCGTTATTTTCACAATGCACGTCCACCACGTACCATGTCCCATGTGTGACTCTCTCCCGCTCGCTCGCTCTCTAGCTCTGGCCTCCAACCTCTTTGTGCGTATGTTTATCTCGCCGTCTTTTTATGAGCTTTGTCGGGCTTTGATGTTAATTACCCTGTAACAACGACGACGTCCTTAGCGCTAGTGCTTGGCCCCCTTCACACACCCGCCTCACACACACACACACACACACACACAGACAACTACATCCGCGCAGCAAATTTCGTCCAAGCAGCGCCTGACGCTTGGTAAACAAAATAGCAGCAGTCGCAGCAGCAGCCGCCGGCAGAGCTCCCGCTGCTGCTGCTGTGTGTGTGTGTGTGTGTGTGTGTGTGCGCGTCTATCTCGCTGGCCGAGATTATCTCCAAGGACCTATAAATCCAGTCATTAAAGTCAAAGTCACAAGACGTTGCCGGCTTATCAGCGTCGGGAGCAGCGCTGCCACTGTGCGCCTCTCGGGCATCGCCCCCCTCTTCCATCTCTCACTCGCTGCGCTTTATAATAAAATTAAGCTAAAAATACACACACACACACACACAGCTACGCATTGTATATGTACTTGGAGCAGGCAGCGCTGCTTGTCTAGTTTTTGTTTTTGTTTGCGTTGCTTTTGGCTTCGTTTTTATTGCACGCATGTAGTTGGCACTCTGCGGTGTTGTCTGTTGTCTGCTTAAGCAGAGTTGCCAGATGTTTTTGTACACACATGAATGCAAATGTGCCTGTCGTCGCCCTCTGCTGTCGTTGCCACCCGCCGTGCAGACAAATGTTGTGTGGAGTTTTGCCGCCGTTTAAAGCTGAAATTAAGCTATTAAGCTTTAGCTCGCTCCAGAAATAATAAATGCAGCCATTCGCAACATTTTTTAAATAAAATGTATTTAAGTTCTCAAATAACTCATAAGTCATATTGAAAAATAAATTGAACATTTCTACAATTTTCTTTTGGCTTTAACTTAAACAGTTGCGTCTCTTCAATTTCCGTTCAAATAAATCAAACTCGAATAAGGTTGCCAGCTTCAAATATAAATATACATACATATATTTGTATATATTTCTTCTGATATTTGGCTACTTATTCTTCCTCTACTTCTTCTTCTTCTGTTAATTCGACTGTTGATCTCTGGCATTTCGATTATGTTAGCTACAAGCGCTGTCTTAAATCACAATCGGCCAAATTTGTTGAAGGCCAAACGAGGCCAATTGGCAGCTAGATATGCAGACAGGGAGAGTGGACGCACACACACACACACACACATACACACTAAGGCAGCACTTAACCCACAGATGACCCGCCAATAACAACGGACTCTATTAAAAATGCTTACAAATGCGCTTAACAGTCGAATGTGCTGCAAATAAATCTCCATATGTGAGTTGACAGGCCCCTCGCCCCAGCTCAGCCCAGCGCCCTGCCCAGCGCCCTGCCCAGCCCAGCTCAGCTCAGCCCCCTGCCAGCCAAGACGCCCCCTGCCGTTGAGCGTTCTACACCCTGCGGGCCTGCTAAACTTGTGCCGTTGCCCAATCCACCCACAGCTTGGCTGTTTGTTCGCTGACAGTGCTGCCAGTGTTGCCATATCGTTGTTAGCTACAAAATGGCTATGAAATATGGCTGCAAGCTGGGTTTGAATATATATTACCTATGTTTTATTATTCTTTTATATATTTGCTTATTATAAGTCGAACTTTTTGCCAAGTCAGTAGTCTTAAACCACAAAAAGTTGTACATACTTTTCAGATCTAAAAAATCTTCGGATCATTAGGACAGAACTTATTTAAAGTTGCATAAACGAGGTCTTCTAGGCAGATGCCATGCCTGTGGCTGTTTTAAAGCCAAAAGCTTTTAGCTTAAAGTTGTTGCCTGGCTAAAGTGTCTAACGGGAAAAAGGCCAAATTGGCAGCACTGGACTGTTGTTGTGATACTTTTGAGATTTTTCTTTCTGTTTTGTTTTGTTTTTTTTTTTTTTTTTTTTCTGGGTAAGTAGTGCCGTAAGATTTTAGCTGTAGCTGTCGCTTAAAAGCCATAAATAACTCATGCCTTGTTGCCTGTTTCGGCTGCTGTCGATAGTTATCGGCGCACGGATAGCACCCAGCACCCCGCACCCCCCCGCACTCCATGCAGTCACTGTGCCCCTTCTAGCCGCTTGGTCAGCAGCTGCCACAAGTCACAGAGCGGCAAGTTGTGTGATTTTTATATTTGTGCCAAAAAAAAAAAAAAAAAAAACAAAAAAGAAACAAAATAAAAGTAAAAAATTTCGCATGACTTTAACGGTAAGCAGGAAGGGAATGAGAGATGGAGAGAGTGGGAGAGAGAGAGAGAGAGGGGTGGGGGCAGAACTGAGGGAAGGAGCGAGTTGTGATTTTCACTAATTTGGCCCATGTTGCCTGTCAAATTGGATGCCATGTGTGGGTGTCATTAATGTCAGCCAAGGCCCAGCCCTCGACGCCCCAATTGTTAGAGACAAAAGCGACACAGAAAGACACTAAGGATATATGGAAGGATGTTAGACAGTTGCAGACACAGAGACGACTCATTAATGCCACTCATCAAAACTATAACTAATGTTGAAAGGGGCCTGAGAGGGCGACATCAGGCAATGCCTGCGAGAAGAGACATGAATATATTCTGGCACAACTATAAATTGCCAGCCCAGCTGTAGGGTAGCTGGGTGGGCGGCTGTTTTAGCGGGGGCTGGAGCGGGCGGTGGTGGTGTCAGTTAGAAGCTGATGGCATTTGTCGCCGCTGTCGCCAGTCGATGTCCTTTTGTCGCAGGCATTTAGCTATTTTCGCGTAAATTGCTGCTAATTTTGTTTATCGCAGGACAATTATCCAAGCGAACGAGCTGACAAATGAGCCGCACAACATGTGCGTGTGTTTGCGTGTGTGTGCGTGTGTGAGAGAGTGTGTGTGCGTGCGTGCCATTATGTGTTGTGCCTGCAGCTTTAAAGCGCTTCAATTTCGGCCAGCTTTATGGCTAATTTTAATAGCTAAACAAACACAACACACACACACACACACACACACACACACGCACACACACACACAGCCCACGCCGCACACGTTCGCATCTTTATCCAATTATGAATTTTTGTCATTACGCCGAGTCCATGGCAATGGACCAACTGAGAGTCCCAGCGCCCATCTATATACATATATATGTATATATATAAATCTGCTGCTGCCCCGCCTCCCTTAGTGAAAAATCGCCCAACCACCGCCCCCTCGCCCTTTTGCCAGTGTTGGCTGCAACAAAAAAAAAAAAAAAACGAACGAGCAAAAATCTCATTATGATTTCATTTCGTTCAAATGAAGCGCTCGACTGTGCTGGGGGCACAGCTACCGCTGGTCCGGCTGCTGTTTGGGCGCGTGCGTGGAGGGGCATGCTGGGAGCGGGGGTTAGTGGGTGTGGCTGCGACGCGTCGCATGTGTTGTGCCTTGCTCGGCATAGCCGCTAGCAGCTTTGTTGTCCCTGCAATTGGCGCTGTGGGGCAGTCGCTGCAACCGAAATCAGCTAAACAAAAAAAATCCCGAACAAAAAAAGTAGAGCAAGGCGAATATTCAATACACTTACGGCCACCGGAGGTGCTGCTTGAACTGTTTTCGTCTGATATAAAATAGATATGTATGTGTATATAAGAATGGAGCTCGTAATTGTTGAGCTTGGGTAAAATATTTTGATAAAAATTAAACAAAATTATCCAAAAAGGAAAACTTTTTTTAAGCATTTTCTTATATAGTTTGCTATATGATCCGTCGCAAATAGGGCTTACGTAAATGATATTTTGTTCAAAATATCTTGAAAAACGGAAAAGTCAGACTTAGTTTGGTAAAGATATCCAAAAGACAAAACAAATTCTCAGACAAGAACTTACTTTTCTCATGGCAGCTATATGATATAGTGTTACGATCCGACTAATTCTAGTTACAATGGTAAGACGAACCCATGCACAGTTGCTTGAGAAGTTCTCTCTACAACTGAGACTCTGGTTAGAAACAAAGACAAGGATCTGACTATATGAACACGACCTTCTTTTTGGTTCCAGAATATATATATGCGCCTCTGACTTAGCAGAAGTCTGCGCGCTTCATGACAATGTCATCGAACCCGCGTTAAGGGTATATAAAGCAAGACTTGACTTTGCCTTCTGAGCGTTGTGTCCTGTATCCTGTGTCCTGTGCGCGTCCCGTCGCTGCCGTGGACAACGGATAAGGCGATAAATTTATTTTAAAATAAAATTTACTTTCCCACTGCTGCGGCGGCGGCGTCTATCGCCTGCTGCTGCTGATACCCTAGCAGCAAGGCCTCAGCTTGGGGTATGCGCAGCTGACTGGAAGCATTAGGACGTGAGGATGAAAGTAGAAAGCAATGTTTGTTGGGTTGCAAGCAAAATGATCGATAACATTGCACGCAGCGAATAATCGATTATGTTTAGTTAAAATCCCTTAAGAAAACCCACAAAAAAAAAAAACAACAACAAAAAGCAGAAACTTCCAGCTTTCGAAGGCGATTGGAAGGAAAACCTGCCCATAAATGAGAAAACAATACGAATTCTACGGCTCAGTTTACCTTGGAATAGCTTTCAAATCACAAACATAAAGCTGAGCAAATCGAAAAAAGCCAAAATTCTGAAAACATTTCAGAACATTTTAGCTAGCACAAAACCAAAAAAAAGGTACTTTCACATAATAATATGCTATATATATATAAAAGAAATCGTTAATTTAGATAAGCGGAAATTGAAAACGTCTCTACTCATAGTCACACAAGACGCGCAGCTGGAGCCAAGCAGCCAAGATGAGCGCCATCGAGGAGCAGGAACACGGACTGGCTGGCGTTTCGCAGGCGAAGGATGCATTGGACATGGCCGCCAGCCGTATCGAGGAGCTGGAGCGAATCGAGGAGAAGAAGCTGATGCCCAAATATCCGAGCGGCCTGCCCAGCGGCCATTCCGTCTTCCTGCAGAAGCGACTGCACAAGGGGCACAAGTTCTTCGATTCCGGCGACTATCAGATGGCCAAGCAGATTGGCGTCAAGCAGATTCTGGCCAACAAGGCGATCACCGGCGACATTATACCCACACCCGAAACGGTCCCAGTGCGCAAGTACTCCATTATACAGCCCTTCAAGTATGCGGCTAAGAAATAAGCTGTCCTAACGTCTATTGGGATCAAATTTGATCATATTCAATATTTGTCTTAAGCTCGCTTTTTGGCTGACTTTGTCCGCTGTCCGCTTTTCGCGGCGGCACTTTTATTTCATATCATTTCATACACAATATAATTGCGTGTCCTCTCACACAACTATGTATATTAACACATATACTTCTATAACTGTGCGTGTGCGTGTGTGTGTGTGTGTGGGTGTGGGCGTGTGTGGGTGTGGGGGTGTAGGTGAGGAGCTTAAATGCACATTCTACATACTGACTATGTTTGGTTTGTGGTTATGCGAACAAGTGTCTGCACTGCCAGCTTAGCTGCGTTGTAATTCGCAACTTGTTTTAGCTTCAATCGTATGGTGAGGCGAGTGAAAGCGTTGAACCAGCACGTGTGAAGTCGCCGGTTGGAATTAAGTGTATTTGTGATTTTTTCACGAAAAAGATTAATAAAAATGTATACTAAAAACTACGAAATGAAGTGTCGCTTACAGGGTAGCGCTTAGGCGACTCTTGTGCGTTCATTTGCCGCTCTTGCTCTCTTTACGGGGTAACCTTGGGCCGAATCTACTTGTGGCGCGTTTGCTGTTCTTACAGGGTAGCGTCTGTCAGACCCTTTTCGCTTCGCTTACAGGGTAGCGCCTGTGCGACTCTCGCGCTTGCTCATTTATGTGTATTTTATTTTTTTCCTTCTTATTTTTGCTGTTTAATTTTGTTTGCTTCTCTGCGTGTTCGCTGCTTCTTCCTCTTCTCATTGTTGTTGTTGTTGTTGAGCTGCTCTTTAAATATGTATTTTGTTGTTGTTGTTGTACCTTCTGCTTACCTTAACGGCAAAAAAATGTGCTGCTGCTTTTGTTATTATTATTATTGTTGTTGTTGTTGTTGTTGTTAAAGTTGTTGTTGTAGCCGTTGTCCTGTCGTATTTAAATTAAAATGTTATTTATGTCAGCTGTTTGATTTCTTAACTTGCCGTTTGCCCTGCCCACCCACGCGCCACCCCCTCCCCCCCGCCTGCCTCCTCCACCCAGCTGCCACAACCCTGCGGCACATTATTTTTTCTCGTTTTTCCATTCGCATTTTCTTTTGTGTATTAGAAAATCGCCAGCAACAACACAAAATAAGCTGCTTAGTTAGTGTTAAACGGCTGGTAGTGATGCGTAAGGGCGTATTTGGCTGTGGGCGGGGGTGTGGCAGTGGCAATGTGGCGCAGGCGAGGGAGAAGGGGGGGCTTGGTGTATGGCATGATGTGGGCGAGGGCAAGTCTGTCGCTGCAGCTTCCGTTGAATGTGGCAAGCGTTGCAACTCATTTCCTCGAAATATGCAAGACACATTTCTTAGGACTGTGCGTGTGTGTGTGTGTGTGCGTGTGTGTGTGTTTCTTCCTATTCAAGCGAAAACCTTGACTACTTAGTAACCAATATAAATCTATTCTAATGTGCTTAAGAGCTAGAGTCCACTTCTTTTGTATCGAAGCGTTAAAGTTTGACATGCACTGCAAAGTTTTGCTTCGTTGAGAACAAATATAAAAGCTCTATTAACACATATATTATATTTTTAGTGTAAAGGGACGTCTCTCCATAAGATACATAGTACATAAATAAATATTCTTGAAATATAAAACTCGTGTCCATATAGTCAGATCCTTGTCTCTGTTTCTAACCAGACTCTCAGTTGTGGAGAGAACTCGTCAAGAAAATCTGCATGGGTTTGTCTTTCCATTGTAACCAGAATAGGTCAGATCGTAACACTATATCTTGTCTAGGAATTCGTTTTGTCCTTCAGATATCTTTAGCAAACTAAGCATTTACGAGTCTGACTTTGCTCAGCACATATAGCATATTCCTACGTACGCATTTCTTATAGATGTAGATCTTATTACTATCCAAAACACGTAGCCTTACAGGAAGAATAGATCAATAGTTATGTCTTGTCTGTCTAACATTTGGTGTTTCTACCAATTTCTCAATCCATCTTAGTTCGTTAGAGTTCTGTATAAGAGCAAGTTTAATAGGAAGAATCGGACTAATATATCATAAGGCTACGGAAAGAAAAACTAGCCGAATGTAAAGCTCAGACATAAAAGTGCTTCTCAGCCACATGTCTACAGGGTATTTGGCGATGTGCCATAAGCACACATTCTTCCTTGTTTAGGGAGTATTAATATTGGAATACGATGTGTCTAATTGGAGAAAAACCCTAGAAATATATCTCATATAATGGCTGCTATAGAAACCAGTTCTAGCTTGACTTTCTAAAAGGTAAAGTATCTTTCCTTGCCTCCTGCTGCAGGTAGTATAAATATATATATATATATATATATATATACATATATATTGGGATCGAAGTACTATATCGAAACATCCATAGCAACTAGCTTGTGTCCGAGACACCTTTAGGGTAAAGATGCGATTCTTTGTTCTAACACAAGCTTATTGTTCAGGCTGATCCATTTACAGTATTCAAATATTGTCTTTAATTGAAATAGAAAATATGCATATTTTTAACAGCCTGATATTTTGTGCCCTTAGTGAAAAGGCGCAAAAGAAAATTATGTCTGTCTGCTTGACAGGGATAAGTTTAGGATATATTTAAGTCAAATTGTGCTGCCAACTCACCTGGTCAAATGTGAAGTGTACTTACAACATCTATAGACGAATCCGGCAGGAGTTATTCTCAGAACTGAAACAGAGAGAGAGAGAGAGAGAGCAGGTATCTAATGAGAGGGACGACAAATAACATAACAAAACCAAAACAAGCTTAAACTAAACAACAAATGTTTAATAGCTCGAACTGCCATTTGGACTAAGACATTTTTATTTTTCCATTATTTTTGCAAAAATTTAAAAGAAATTTCTGTTCTGCTGCGAATTTGTTTCATGTGATTCCCAGATGCAACATTTTGCTGAAAGATTCAAAAGTTTTCGTTTCAATTTATGTGGATCTTTAATATTAATATATAAATATTATTTATTTTAATTAACTATTGAAAAGCTGTTCTCAAGCTCTTTATAATTCATAAATTAGAAAGTTAAAATAAATCAGTGCAGTATTTCTGTGCAAGTGTGGCAATGCATAGCTCAACTTGATGGGATCTGCATGAGATGTGGCAACACTCGCTCCATTACTCACGCGCTCTCTCTCTCTCTCACACATTCTGCTGCTGTTTATCACATGCGTGTGTTTGTGTGTGTGTGCGTGCTTTTACAGTTTTATTTTGTAGTTGTTGCTGTTGTTGTTATTTTTTTTTTTTATATATACGTATTTGTTGTCTTCCTCTTGAGAGGCTTTTGTTGATTTCTGGCTGACTGAGCTTCGGCACTTCAGCGATTTGCCCCATCTTCAAGCTGTGCTGGTTGCCATTTCGTTACCCACTATTTTTCTCGTGTCGTCTCGTCTCGTTTCGTTTCTTTTTTGTATATATTTTATTCATTTTCTTTTTCTTTTTGTGGCTGCCATTGTCACTGTGTGAGCCACAGCAGCGGCACCGCTGCGACTCCGACTCCGACTCCGACACATATGCAACTGTGTTGATGTGTGTGTGTGTGTGTGTGCGTGCGTATGTGTGGATGGCTGAGCCTTGATTCTGATTGGACACAACACACACGCACACACAGCCGCAATCATATGCGACACACACACACACACGCAGCTCTTGGCTATTCCGTAGGCTCCACCCATCGCACTGTGAGATTCGGTCTCTTTTTATATACAAATACGACGCGGTACATAAGCTTCGCCCACTGCCCGCGGCCCCCTTGCCGACAAACTACGCGCCTGTCAGCTTGTCGCCCACACAATGGTCATGTGGGGGCATGTGTGTCTGTGCGTGTGTGTGTGTGAGAGGTTGGGTGCTGCCATGGGGCGCGTCAATAGAACAGATAAATCGATTTCGTTTTGGCTTTCAGCTTTTCAGTTTGCCTTTGTTGTTGTTGTTGTTGTTGTTGCAGTTTAAGCTGCAAAAATTTCTATATGTTGCATAACTTTGGGCGCTGGCTGTGCACGTGTGTGTGTGTGTCTGTGTGTGTGTGTGTGTGGTAGCAACGTTTCTGCCATTTTGAACGATTTGGCCAGCTCAACTAGTCCAGCCCCCCGCCCGCTCTTTATCATCTGAAATTCAACACGCCCCCTCCCCCCCTCTCACATCGCATCAGCCAACCCCCTCGCCACCAGGTGGCCACGCCTCCGTCGGGCACTAATTTAGCATTCCGTTGCCACAGTCAAGTGAAGCACAAACACGAAGCTGCAGCTTAATGCGATCAGAGCGTCTCACAGTAATACACTGGTAAAAAATTCAGTGCACTGCAATCAATTAAAGATGATTGGGACAAGAGTTTGATATCGAATTGGGGTAAGAGTATAAATTGCGTTGCCTGGCCCAAAAGACATTTCAAATTGCTGCTGGTCGTTTTGAACCAGCGACTTCTCGCTTGCTGGTTCGACGCTCTGATGAAAAACGCAGGCTTATGACGTCACTTTTGCAATACTTTGTTATTATTATCATTTGTACAAACGTTAATCATTCTTTTTCGCATTTGGACCTAAGAGAAAGCTTTTGCAAAACTGTCAGCTTTCGGTTTTTTGTGTGACTTAAAACTATTTCTCGCAGTGCATTTACACAAACGTTTAATTCACTTGAAATGCAACTTTCGCTCAGCTATTTGCAATTAATACGAGATACAGGCATATCCTTTGAATTGTATATGAAAAGAAAACGAGCGAGAGATTTCTCGCAGTGCATGCGGGGCTATATCGGTGGCAACTATAGCCCGATAATACCAGCAGAAACTTCAAAAGAGCACGGAAATGATTTCATTACCAGACACGTTCGGCGCATCACGTGGCCAGAAGCCAGCTGAAGCTGTAGCTAAAATTGTGAATGGGGCGTGGATGGGGAGTAGGCGGTAAAGAGGAGGGCAGAAGAAGGAGGGGGGGTGGGGCTGGGAAAGGGCAGCGGCTGTAAAGTGTGTGCGAAAACTCTTAACGGCAGCGTCACGTACGCAACGCCGCACGAAGCGCTTTATTAAGCTGCCACAGTGAAGGTGAGGGCAGCGAGGGGGCAGTCGATGGAGGCGGGAGGGGGAGGTGTGGGGGGTGTGGGTTGGTTGCTTGAGTACGTCAGAAGGTAGGCGGCATTGATTACCAATTCAGCGGTCATCTAATCACGGCCAGGCCAGGTCTCAGAACGTGCCGCGTGGGGCAAGCGAACCAAAAATCCGTCAGCTAATTAAAACGCACTAAAGCAGACGCTGTGCGTGTGTGTGTGTGTGTGTGTGTGGCAAGTGTGTGTGCGTGTGGCAAGTGTGTGTGCGTGTGGCATACTTTTTGCCGGCGCAATTTATGAAGCATAATTTCTATAAGCCAACACCCCTTGCCTCAACACACCACCACCAGCCGCTGCGTGCCCCCCTCCCCCTCTCCCCTAAGCGACAAATGCGGCGGCAATTTAGTTAATTGCCTGCAATTATCCTAATGAGCGCCTTGCCTGAGCGCCAATGTTGTTAGCTAACTTAACCCCCCACGCCACCGTGCCCCCCCCCCCGTCCAACACCTCGCCAAACTCGCTCCTGTCATAAATTGTTGTTGTCGCTCGCGTATAAATACTCGCGCATCTTGGCAAGGCCAACTTATTGTATTTATGACTTGCTGGCGCTTCGCCAAGGCATTTAACAATTAGCCCAGTTTCCCGCCTCAGCCTCAGCCTCAGCCTCAGTCACGAGAATAACTAAAACCACACCTGACTCGCAATGGAAATTAGCTTAGACAAATCTTTTGATACTCGACTTAGGATCTGCCCAGATATCCTTTGATTATGTTGGATTCCCAACAGAAAACCATATTTTTGTCGGTTCGAACCAGCTTGCAACTAATTTGAGGTTCGATTTGCGAACCTGGTTTTCTGCAGCCATGAATATACGATATACGATACTCGATATACGATATACGATATACGATATACGATACTTGATATACGATATACGATATATGATACTCGATATACGATATACGATTTACGGTTTAACATACATCATATTTATATATACATAAGCTAGAAGGCGTTTTCTTCTATGCGCTAGACAATTCCTGCCTTTTTCCATTTGATATTTAACTGTTTTGAATATATTTCTTGTAATTATATTTACTTAGGCCACCCACCTGGCTCACCTGCGCTCCGTCTGCCCCACCTGCTGCCCCGCAATAGTTTCCAATCGAACTTGGAAGTTGCGCCGTGAATGCAATTTAGGCAAATTTGATGATGTCTATGAGGCACACACGCACTCACACACACACACACACACACAGACACACACACACACATGTGTAAAACCACACTCGCAGGTGGGGCATGTGGCATGTGGCATGTGACATGTGGCTTGCCGTTAGTCAAGCCCTGAGCTGGAGCTGTCGTGTCTTGAGCTGTTCCGGGCCCAAATGACATGCCATTTAATGTTAAACTTTAATGTTTTCTTGTAAGTGAAGTCATAATTTTGTCAAGCCACGAGCACACGAGCGGGGCAGTGGGGGGGTTCGGGGGTTGCGGGGGGTGCGAACAGCGGTCCCAGCACAGGTGGGCATTATTTACGCACTCTCCCAGCAACCCGCACAGCCCGCCAGGCCCACTCGGCGCAAGCGACTGTTGTTATTTATATGGCAAGGCCATGGGAGCGTGGCCGGAGGGGGGGAAAACGAGCTGAGGACAGAGGGGGGGGGGGGCAGGGAGTTACTGGCTTCGTTGTCGGTAACGACCTCATGAAATAATGCGCCAAGTGGCGTCGCCAGCCGCCAAAGTGTTTTATGCCATAATATTTATCTGCAGCGCACAACAACGCCGCTACCCCCTGCCACCCTCTTTCCCACTCCTTCTCTCGCGCAACCCCCCGCGTGTGGCGCCCTTCATTATGGAAATCGTGGATTTGCCAAATGTTTGCACGATCATTTGTCATCCGTTTTTACAGTTGCCTTTCGCACGGCGCGCATTTTCACGACTTTTCACGCCGCCTTTTCTTTTTGCCCCAAACCCATGGAAGCTGGGCAGAACGGGTATGCCGCATGTGTGCCTCTATATGTGACAGGCAGAAGGAGATATAGTGTATATATATGCTTGAGCGGCATCGAGCTAGTCTGGCTTAATGTCATCTCAGCTATTATTTGGCATATAGACTTGTAATTTTGATAAAGATTCTTTCGATAACTATCGATAATTTGTTTCCTTTGCATGGCATCGATAAGTATCGCTATTGAAATTGTGTTTTTGTGCATGCATCGAAGGCTACAGCAGCTACAGACTTGTAATTTTGATAACATTTCTTTCGATAACTATCGATAACTTGTTTCCTTTGCATGGCCCCGATAAGTATCGCTATCGCAATTGTGTATTTGGTTACAGAGTATCTGCAAGTCGTGCACGCCCGGCTGCGTGCACTATTTTCTATTTATTTTGTCTTGTTTTTGGTTATTCCCTCATTTTCCGCTGCCTCTAAATTATTGAAAATTGTTAGTCAGTGGCGGCGGCGGCGGCTTCATGAATGATATATGCGGGAGCCACAGGACAGGACACTCGAGCCGTGTCTGGAGTCGGGAGCAATCACTGACGGCGCAGTCACAGACGCCTGTCACAGGACTTTAGCCGCTAAGTGCTGGCATTTCTTGTTGCTGCGGATTTGTGTGTGAGTGTGTGTGTG